TCATTATAACGCCCCCACGGCTGAAAGGGCGAGCATGTTTTGGTGGGACGGGGATTCGAACCCGCGACCAGCAGATTGCGAGTCGAGATCCCTAACCACCTGGCCATGCCGGGCCATCAGTCCCCAGTAGACAATGCAAAGTAGCATAACTTAAATGCAAACTTTAAGATGTGATAACTCTTCTCATACTTACTGAAAAAAGAAGGAATGTATTTAATGTCATTGGTAGATTATCATTCTCTACAATCTACTTAAATACATGAACACATTTTTAATTTCACATAACAAATGTACCTGAAGTATAAATGATACTTTGTTTGTTTATTTATTTTCAAGCGCAAAGCTAGGCAGTGGACTAATTGTGCTGTGCTCATCACGTGAATAGAAACCTGTTTTTTAGGGCTATAAGCTTTCAGACCTTCCGCTGAGCCAATGAAGGACATTTCCAGTTTGCCCCTGAAGAAGAAAGGTCCACCTCTCGAAAGCGCTCGGGTTATACAGTTTTTTTTTTATCAGTTTGAAAGACACAAGTGATACCTTATTAGTAATAATAATAATAAAGTTATCTAAATTTGCCGCAGAAAAAGTAAGCTAATTTTTAAAATGTGACCTATTATGCAAGATCTTTTTTTTTCATTCTCTTAATAAGGATAATTTGAAAACAGTAGTGTTTTATCCATTAAACTGAGGAGCAAAACAACAGAATCGTTTACACTTAATTATTTAATGTAACCAGCCACGCGATTGTGCTTACTACGGTCAGCTCCGTCTGTCTGTTTACTTATTTGTTTGTTTGTTTATCCGCATGATAACTAAAGTATGATTAAGGCTAAAACTACCAAACGGAACTTCCTGTATCCGGCTCAATGAATATTTTGACTGTCAAAAAATGATAGATAAGTCATAGGGGTCAATATATGAAATCGCATTCTGATGATTATTTTCAAAATTAATGTAGCTAGACATGTAAAATTCTGAAGGATTATTCCATCATGATTAGACGATCTAAGACGTAGGCCATCATATCGATTAAGTGTAGTCTAGTTATAATCAGTTAATTTACTTATCCTTCACAGTTTTTCTAAAGACGAAGCGAAAAACAGCGTTTGCCTTTTTTCCAACTGAGGCTAAACACAGGTGACATGCACGTGACAACTGACTGGAAATTTCTATCAACACTATATGATTAAATACCACAAAATAACCGGAGTATTTTAACGCTCAGAGTGTCAACTTAACACATTTACTGTTAAACCAACAATGACATTTAACACTACAAACTTAGATGTGTAACGGTGATAAATGTATGTTTCTAAGAATTTATTTCTTAACATAAATAGATGGTAGTTAAATTTTTTCCTCTTCTGAACCATCCTGAGGTTTATAGGCCTAATAATAATAATAAAAGGCAGATATTATTATCACATTCCTCTGAATTATTTCATTACGGTTATCAAATTATAGGAGTGTAATAATAACACTTTTAACACTTTTTTTTTTGTCCACCGCATACTAATCCACACAAGGCCTTTCTTTGAATGTCGGATTCATCATTTGGGCAAGTTCAGCCTAGAAAAAGTGTGTTCAAAATACTATTTTGTATGCAGTATGATACATTTAATGTTACAGTTTAAACGTAAAAAGTCGACGAAACAATAAAACCAATAGGCCTAATAATAGTGATAAAAATTGATGTGAGGATGCATATATATCTCCAGATTTATTCTAATTATTTTTTATAGATTTCGAATTGAAATAATACTTTAAATGGAGTGGATAAAACATAGATTTAAAATGCTATTTTTACACTTCTCTAAAATGCAAATTTCTTCTTAACTGTTAAAGTAGCTAAATAACAACTGCGCGATCTCTGACTTAACAATTTATTTGATACTAACTCTTTAAACATATCAAAATTAATTACTATTTCAATACGTCTTAATGCAAATTAACACTATTCTGTTAGATTTCAATGAATTCAAATGTCATCAATACAAAGAAAGTTTTAAATTAATCATCTTATAAGACTAGAAACAATCATGAAGCAAAATTGTAAAAATAAAATACAAATGCATGTGAACAGGGACTAAATTTAGAATACTTCAAATAAAATTCACCTCGAACTTTTGGATACTCCAGCATTGCAAATTTGAGGTATCGTTAGCCCTAATTCAAATTTTATCATAGTTACAGAATACATGTGCTTTCCAAGTTTTGTTTAAACCTTAGGCCAATATGCTCAACAAAAGGTTTTTTCAAATTCGAAAAAATCAAGCAATGACCTTTTTTTTTCTTTCATATTAACGCCTTTTATAATGTGTTCAACTAAACTCAACGAATAGCCAGAGGTTTCACGGCTTGTTTCTAAACCAGTTGATACCAGGTGTGTATCATGTGTGTGTATATGTGTTTATGTAGAGGAAACGTCTTTGTTAAGTGTTTATTATTCATTTCACAAAACATCTACAAGCCGCGGTAATTTCGTTGATACTTGGCAGTTAAAATATTGTGGACGTTTTTCTTTGACCTCTGTACCTATGTGTATATGATACCAATGCTAACTAGTTCGTATTTAGCTGTGTTGCAGGACTGTTAGGTTTTGACAAGAGAAACTGCTTGTTTACTTTCGTGTTTGTATTATCCAGCTCTTGCGAATGAAGCGAGGTAGAGCTGAGTATATAAAATGGAGTACATGCGTTATTCACATAGCGCTCGCTATACATATTAAGGCATACCGATGTGTTAACTATCCAATATCAAGGGAAAAAAAACTTTCTGTCTGTCTGTGGACGCATCTATTCCTTAACGAGTTGACCGATCCAGACCAAATTTAGCATGCTAACTTAGTTATCCAAACACAAATAAAATTCTTATCAAACTTTCTCATATGTTGAAAAATAAAGATATTCTATAGAATAACCCCTGTATTGTTACTACAGTAGCTATTGTAAACAGATGAGTTTGAACTAAACACACACCATAATAAAATTCTACAAGTCAAAGACTGTAAATAAAATTCAGCCTTTTGGCTTGTTTCCCATAATAACCAAATCATACAGTGATAAAATATCCAAATACAATGCGGAGAATCAAAATATTGGTGCTGTTTAAGTTCCCCGCTCTTTGCTGATACACCCCATTTAACTTTCAGTTTATACTAGGGTTAGAATAAGCGCTTATGCCTGAATTAGACAAGTATTTCATAATTAAAATATTTTAAATATATTTTTTACTTCTTGATGTAGAATATAGTTTTCTGTAGAAACAAAATTCAAGATTATTATTAAATTTGTTGCATTGAATGTACCAAATTCAGACAGTAGAAATCTTAACCACATCTCTACTATGAAATGAGCTGCTTTGAACGAGAAGTGATGTAACTGCTTTGCCATTTCTGCCAAGTTTCTCGACTTGACTGCTACACTTCCTCACTTACGATCCACTTCACCTGTCTTACAACAAATTTCTTGAAGAATGAACGCTATTGAAAATCCTCGCAGAGATTTTGCTTCTTTTTAGCAAATTTGTGCATGTTTTCGGTTCTGTCGGGCTTTTACCATGGGCAGAGCTGGGTATGTAATTTGCTGCTCAAAAAATTAGTCAGATTTTTCATTTACTTAATTATTATTTGTTTTTCGTGTTTGATGTTTCGGAGGTCAAATGTCATTATATATATATAACCATTTTGTGATTGACCCTTGTTATAACTAGGACTTTATCATTGAATATCATGGAATACACACTTTTTACATGTCGTCGTAACATATGGTAACGAACAGGAACAGTAAAGCGTTAGTGTATCATCTTCCCTCGCTCCTCATTCGTTCGTTCGGTTTTATTATGCAGTTATTAGTTTAATGACGTCACTGCACTCACTTGCTCATACCTGTTGTAACTGCTACGCTGAGAGAAGGAAAACCTGTTTCGCAAAGATTATTTCGGTGAAGTAGATACTAAACCCTGGTCTATAGTTACCTTGTCGATAGTAAAGCCAAAGCAGAAATTGAGTTATATTTCTTGAAACTTTGTATGACATTTTCAGAGAGATACTATAGCAAAATAACGTTAAGTTTATACGCGCAAGAATGTCAGTTTTTTAGTTTTCCGACGGAGTCTATGTAGTAAATTCCTTTGATAAAAGGGTTTTATCTAAAGTAAAAAACTGTAAAAACTTTGAACTTTCAACATTTATCTTAGCTTCATAATAAACAAGCGAAGTAACCCTGATTGGCTTTTTATATAAGGTCCACATTTTTATCTTGTTTCATTCGAGATTTCCTTTTTAGCAGTGAGTTTGTGTTTTTACCTCACACATGCTTCAGTTACCTTAGGCAGCTTTACACATAATTACATGGGCATTTTTCTTGTATGTAAACTAATAATAACGTTCTAGTTTGAGATTAATAATTTCGTCACATCCGGTGATGTTACGCTCATCCGCTTCCTATACCTCGTTACACCTCAAGAACGCAATACATGAAACTCTCAGCATATAGAGTTCTGTCAACAGGTGTACTAAAAGAGGTACGATTATTTGTTGTGATCAGTATATCCCATCCAGATTTGTACGTGTTACAGCTTTGGAGTGATTGATAAAATCTTTCGTCGTCATGGCACAGGATAATCCAGCTTTCGAACTTAAGGTAATATTAAAAAGTTTTATTTATTTATATGATAAGTCAGTAGCATTAAACTGCTACACAATATGCTTATATAACGTTGTAAACGCGTTAACCAATACAAAAACAGATACCATCAAAGCTTTGTCCAGATTTAACATCTCATAGATGTAGTTCCTTGAAAAATTGAACATCATGTAAGCTGCTAATAAAATAACATGTTTTGATCTCGATTAATTAGATTGTCTCTTTAATAATTAGAATCTCACGGAAATTTATGTTTCCATTACTTTGTATATTTCTAACACCATCATTCAATATCTAAATACACATCGTTAGTAACACTCATTTAGGATTACTGGGAGGTGTAGGGAGAAGAAAAATTAAGAAGTACCGCCTTAATTATAACATCTTATGTTGATCGCAGATTGGCTAAAATTTATTGAAAAATACGGGTGTTTTAGATAGTCCAATATAAAGACCGCTGTTGTTATAATAATGCTATAAGTTTTCAAATTAGAATTTCATGTAAGAAAAATTATAATAGTCCTCCCTTAAATTTCCACAACCATTGCTGAGAAATGGCCTAAACACCTAACATCGATAATAGTGTTCAGAAGCAGGAAATATATATATATATTTTTTTATCAAAGCACTCAGATTGCGAATAAGAGAAAGAGAGCATGGCTAACAACACCGCCGTGTAACCTCAGTACCCTAAACAATATGATGAATTTGTATGATCACGCTCACCACCTGAAATAAAAATAATACGTTTTTTAGTAGTTATAAAGTACGTTAACTAACAAACTGGGCCTAACATGGCCACGTGGTTAGGGCGCTTGACTTGCAATTTGCGAGTCGCGGGTTCGAATCCCCGTTACACCAAACGCTCGCCCTATCAGCCGTGAGGGCGTTATAATATTGTGGTCAATTCAAATAATCGTTGGTTAAAGAGTAGCCCAAGACTTAGCGGTGGGTGGTGATGACTGGCTGCCTTCCCTTCAGTCTTTCATTGCTAAATTTGGAACGGCTAGCGCAGATAACCCTCGTGTAACTTTGCGCAAAATTCAAAACAAACCAAACTAACAAACCCTGAGAAACAGATTTTCTGGGCTTAAAACAATAGAATCTCAATGCGTTATTATTAGTTGACTGATCTACATGTAAGGCTGCAAGGAGTTCATGTTTTAAATTTGAGTTTATCCTTCTCAGTTCATCCATGTTACAGTAAACTTTTTTACATTACTTATTATTACGTATTTTGACCCATCTATTAACCATGAGAACACACGTAAATAAAAAACTCACTCCAATTCAGAATTTATGTATATACATATAAAATTTAAACTTAGAATGAAACCAACGACTGTGAAGTTGAACATTGAACTCGTTGAACATTAACAAGTTTATGTATATACATATAAAATTTAAACTTAGAATGAAACCAACGACTGTGAAGTTGAACATTGAACTCGTTGAACATTAACAAGTTTATGTATATACATATAAAATTTAACTAGAATGAAACCTAACGACTGTAGAAGTTAGAACATTAGAACTCGTTGAACTATTAAACAAGTTTATGTATATACATATTTAT